TCTTGTATCGGGGAATAAGTTTTTGTATGCCTGTGTGAAAGAACTCTGTTGCCCGTGAGCTCAGCCACATTTTGACATCTCCCATCAACTCATTAATACTGAAGCTTTGTGATCTTAACCAGTCCTTCAGGTATGTCACTCAGAGCAAGGTCAGGGCTGTAAGGTCAAACAACTCCCAGATGAAATGCTCCAGCAGTGCTTGAGTATGAGCAGCTGCATACAAATGCACATTGTCATGAAGGAGCACTACACTGCATGTCAGCATTCCATGCCTTTTGTTCTTACAGGCCCTAAGTAGTTTTTCGTTAGTGTTTCGCAGTACCCTTTTGACATTAATGCGGTCTCTCATTGTGTGAATTCCACCATCAGCATCCTGTCCCAGAAAACAGGTACCATCAACTTTCTGGCAGGCAGACAGACATCTGTTAAAAATTTTTTTGGCTTGTCTGGTGAATGTGTACACGCACTGCTTTGGCTGCTCTTAGGTTTCAACATTCACAAATGAAATCCAGTTTTATCATCTGTTACTCATACGATGTGATCATCTTTGTGGTACTGCTCTAAAAGAGACAAAGTCAAAGCCATTCTCTGCATTTTGTGCATACTCATGAACATTTTTGGAACCAATCTTGCACAAAACTTGTGATAGCCTAGCCTAACTGTGATAATTTCACACAGAACAGTGCACGAAATTTGTGAAAATTCACATAAAAGTTCTGAAAAGTTGAAGCGTGATCTTTCACAAATATTCTGGTCAACACTTTTAACAAGATCGTCACTCACTACAGATGGCCAACCACTCTGCTTTTCATCATGAACATTTGTTCGACCATCTTTGAACATTCTACACCACCTTCTTACAGTTCTTCCACTCATTACATTTTGGCTTTAAACCACGCATAATTCATGATGGATTTCTGCAGCACTCATGTTTATAGCATGAAGAAAGTGGATAAGAGTGTAAATTTTGAAGCTGGCAGGATAATCACTCTGCAGAGACAAGAACAAACACCATGTGGACAGTTATGTGATGGTTTACAAGGAAATGAGTCAAGGGACACTACCTCTCCCGGGAACCTACATTATATGCCTAAAATAAATGGAGGTTACTTTCTGAATAGCCCTCATAACATAGTTAATTTACATTACTCTAAATTAATAAATGCACAGAATTTAAAACATGCCATTTCCAGTTACCCGATATATATTTTCAAAAAAATTAAAATAACATACTTTGAAAAATACAAAGTCAAAGGCTAAATCTGACGACTCTGAAAACATACCTTTGCTGAATACATTGGAGTAATATGTCATCTGAAAGGACATTTTGTTAGCTTATGAGTGAGCATAGAATGAAATCTCTACCTCAGTTTGGGTGGAAGTTATGCCACCATCTCTAAGATAACTTGTGCCCAAATGAGTTTTTCCGACAACTTTGGAAGTGATCTCCTATAATTCTAAGGGCCACAAAGCAATAATATGTGGCAAAAATACTTATTTCTCCACCAGGATGACAGTTAGACTAAAGTATCATTAAATTCTGAGGGGGTTGGGTTGTTACTCATGTTGATTCCAAATGACACCTGTGTCTGTAAATGGACATATTATTATTGCAAAAACGATTAACTGAGGAGACTGAATTTTGATGACTTTATTACAATAATTACAGACAATGATGACAGGTGGTAATTCGGGGACTCAGTGATGACAAATACTAGAATAACTTTGACAATATATTGACTCCAAAGATGCACGAATGAAATGCTTAGCCCTAATGGTGATTTGTGGAAGCACAAATGTTACAAATTAATGAAAAAAGTTGCTGTTACAGAAAATCATGGACTCCCTACAAACTTGAACACAAAAAAATGATGATAATGCTGGGAGAGACCAGAAAGGACTTCAGGTCTACAATGAACAACCAAGTACAATACAAATGTGTTACCTCATGTAAGGAGAAGTAACAGCTACCTCCTGTTACATCATTTGAAGAGTCAACAAATATCACTACTTATCCTCCCCAGGTTATGCAAGACTCAACTTGTGTAAATCTGATTTTACACAAAAATTTCCACTCTCTTCCACTGTAGCCATTCTAGCCTTAAATACTGCATGCATCATGTGTCTTTTTTTTTTTCCTTTTTTACAAGCTACCATCACAAATTAAGATACGCTGGATATAAGTCAGTCACATTACTTTTACTGTCAAGTACTATCATATCAATATACAAAATATGACAAAACACATATGTATAGTCATTTCCAACATAAAATCTGACCATGCAAGGTTTTGCAGAACTTAACCCTTATATGTTTAGAACTGTTTTCCAAAATTCTAATAATAATTCCTTATATTTCTTAGATCTGATCAAATACAAGCAAAGCTCAATATGTGTAACTATACTCTGATTACCCAATGACAGCATACAGCACCAGCACTTAACATTTATCCTACGGGCATTTAAATTCCGGTATAGGCAGCCGTACGGAATAAATTTAAATACCCGCGATTAGAAATCCGTAAAAATTGAAGTCACTTACTAAATTTGCTCCTATTTCTGCAATTTCTGTGATAAACGAACGAAATAAACGCTGTTTTTTTCTCGAAAGAATATAGAATCAGATATTGTAATTTACAGATTGTATAAAACATGTTAAAATTTTTGCACTGACTCCAAA